GCTTGGGTTTTTATTTCTAATATTTGCATTTGGTACTCTTTCCAACCCAACAGATTGGAAAGAAAATGTGTAATGGACTCAGGATTCTCTCTGTGTCTCTGACCATTCATCAGCACAATAACTTTCTAAAACTGAACAGAATGGGACCAGATTTGGTATGGAGAAGCTATCAAATACAGGTGGTTTGAAAATGGGATGGAGCTAGCCGAGGGCTGTGAGACAGAAACAGAAGCATCCATGCAGGATAGGCAGTTGGGCAATGGCTTTGAATGTTGCTGATACCTCCATTCCAACTTCTCTTCTTCCTCCTTCCAGGTCCTGTGACCCAAGTGGAGTGTATGCACTGTCCTGTGCTTCCAATGTACTTACACACACATCATACATGGATGTAACATAAAGAAAAGTTAGAAACACACATGTACACAAAGGCGCAGCATGTTGCTTTCTCACACAGAAGGAAATATAGTTGCCTCCTATGACCTTTCCTGGTAAAGGTGTTAAGAAAACAGTTCCGAAAGCTGTGCTCTGCATGTTTTCTTTACCTTGTTTAGGGATTGCTGTTTGCTTTCCATACTGTTACTGAGTCTTGAATGCAGTTGTGGCCTATGGCTAGAAGAAAAAAAGTGCTTTCAAACCTAAAATGCCACAAGCTTTTTATGGGTCCAGCTGCTCACACTGAGACCCTTCTGGGTCTCAGAATACAAAGCCTGAATCTATTTGATAGGCACTTTCATCTGATCCAATGGTAATGTCACAGTTTAAGGACACAGAGCACAGTTTTCAATGCTGGTGTCTTTTCTAAGGGACAAACATTCTTAATTCTGAGAGGCCTGTTAGGCCTTGATATACCAGAGGTTGGTGGAATGAATGGCCCTTACAGCTGCGACCTGTTTCATCTCTTTGCTTTGTCTTATCAAAACGAGAGGATTCACATTTCTTACCACTGAAAGACCACTTCAGTCCCGCAATAGCTTTACCTTTCTTACCCCTCTCCCTTCCTGCCCTGCATACATTAAGGATGTGCATGCTTTGCTCCAAGAGTCACATTAATTTTAATCAGAGGATTCCATCAAGCTGTTGCATCTTTCCGGAGCAGAAGCCTAAAAAAAAAAAAGGTGGGGTGTTTTAAAGCATGCACAGCTCTAACGTACCTCTCCATTTTTAAAGTAAATGTCACTGTGTTTGGCAATCTAAACATGTGAAACTAACCTATTCTTATACTGAATTTATTGAACATATTTCTATGCTGCCACTATCAAAATGGCTCTTGGTGACTCACACAGATAAAATTGCAGTTGTCCATATAGCTGGCCTGTGTTATGACTCTAAGCAAAGTCAGTCAAGCAGCATGATTCATAAGATGGCATGGTAGTTCTTTTTCCTGTGACCATGTTTATCCATAGGGCAGTGATTCTAATCAATATAATTATGTGACATGCTTTACTTGTATGCCATGTAAAGCCCACATAACCAGTATCCTAGGGATACTATAATGGAATTGGAAGTGACAAGCAAAGAGGATGACAAATCTTGCACACAGTACCATTTATTAATAGTGACAACAAGCTACCCTAAAAATAAAGGTGTTTTTTTAAGCCTTTAGGATCAAGACTTTAGTGCTATAAACTAGTTGCCGGGATCTGTGTTTGGAATTACCTGAATAATTGAAAAGAAGAATAAATGAAAACAAAGATACAAATTTTAGTACTAATTAAGAAAATGAAACACTTGAAACATCCATATTCAATATTTCTGTTCTAGAAAGGATAGTCAAGTTTGACTTTGTCTTTCATTGTAGAACTCTACAAT